AAGGTTAAGTGGGCAACCCTGTGACTTCCCTGCCACTGCCATGGAATTCCAGAGGTGAATTTTTAATTTCTGTTCAGTTTGGCTCAGCCCAAGGTGTGGTGGACCAATCATGGAGGGCCTCTAAAAGGAGCTGTAAGCTCACCTCCCAGTTTGGAAACAAGACAGAAGATTCCCCAAGAACCAGAAAGCCTGCAGGGCTGGGGATGAAAGCCATGGCCTTGTATTACGTTAGGTAAGCGCCTAGACCGACCCTTATATCCTATAGAGACCCAATCCCTCACTGGGAGATTCTAGCAGGGTGGGGACAGCCTCCACTCCTGACCACATCCCCACCAGCTCTGGGGGGAGGATTCTAGGCGGGGCTCCACCCCTGACCACGCCCCCAGACCCTCACTAGGGATTCTAGGTGGGGCTCCACCCTGACCACGCCCCCAGGTCCTCACTGGGGATTCTAGGCGGGGCTCCACTCTGACCACGCCCCCAGACCCTCACTGGGGGATTCTAGGCGGGGCTCCACCCTGACCACGCCCCCAGCCCCTCACTGGGGATTCTAGGCGGGGCTCCACCCTGACCACGCCCCCAGCCCCTCACTGGGGATTCTAGGCGGGGCCCCACCCTGACCACGCCCCCAGCCCCTCACTGAGGATTCTAGGCGGGGCTCCACCCTGACCACGCCCCCAGCCCTTCACTGGGGAATTATAGACAGGGCTCCACCCCTGCCACCCCAGCCCTTCACTGGGGGATTCTAGGTGGAGGTGGGGGGGTGGGGGTGGGGAATGAGGGGGTCCTTACTCCTGAGCCATGCCCCAAGCCCAGTGAGGGACATGAGGTGTGGATGAATCATGAATGGATAACACTTGCCAACTATACACTAACCTAGCTTCCATCCTCAGGACTGCAAATAATAATAATAATAATAATAATGATGATGATAATGATAATGATAATAGATAAAAATAAATAAAGCACGATTTAACTCATTGGTACGTAGACTGTTTATGAAGTTCAAAGTCCTCCAGCTGTAGTTACCTGTGAATTTAATTTCCAGTGAGCTGGCTAGTTTATGTCAACTTAACACAAGTAGAGTGAGTTTAGAAGGGGGAACCTCAATTGAGAAAACGCCCCACCAGACCGGCCTGTGGGCAAGCCAATGATGCGGTTTTTCCGATAGACAGTCCATGTAGGAGGGTATAGAGACTCCACAGAGCCATTGCTCTTGGCTTGAATTCCTGAGTGTTAGCACCCAGGCTTTTGATTAAAGTCCGTGATTGTTACCTTTTGATTAAAGTCAGTGATTGTTACCTTTTGATTAAAGTCCATGATTGTTACCTTTTGATTAAAGTC